AGTAGATAACACACCTAATTCACGTGTGTTATCCAGTCCCATGACAACCCCCGAGGGAGTGCGATAATTTCACACAAGCTTCTGGTGACCATCAGCATCACGTCTAGACACCTCGCGTGTTGACTGCCGGCACCAACTTGATTCCCGGATCGGCGTCTCCCCCTCCCCCTATGTGCCGCCACCCCCCTCCAATCCGTAATGTTCGTCATAGAACGAGTCGGCATCGCGGTACGCCTGTATCAACTTGAGCTCGCCCTCTTTGCCTCCCTGCGAGAGGCCGTGCTCCATTCCGACGATGCCTTTCCAGCCCCTCTGGTGGATATGTCTGAACACGTTCTTGTAGTTGATCTCACCAGTGTTAGGCTCCTTGCGGCCGGGGTTGTCCCCGCACTGGAAGTAGCCGATCTCGGGCCAAGACGCGTCGATGTTTGAGATCAGGTTGCCCTCGGTGATCTGCTGGTGATACAGGTCGTCGAGGATCTTGCAATGGGGGCTGCCAACGGCGCGGCAGATCGCGAAGCCCTGCGCCATCTTGGTCAGGTACAGATCAGGGTGGTCACGGAAGTTGAGCGGCTCCAGGACCATGACCAGCTCACTCCTGTTCCGCTCGATCTTCTCACAGCATCGCTTGAGCAGCTCGACGCAATTGCTGAACTGGTAGCCGGCGTCTTTGCGTGGGTCGACGAGGCCAGGCACCACCGTGCACCACTTCGCGTTCACGCGCCCTGCGATCGTGCAAGCTCTGTCAATGTCGGCCAGCACGAGGTCCTGATGGTCCTTGCGGCCTGATGCAAACGTCGGCTTCGAGAAGTCGCAGTGGGCGACGAACACACCCATCTGCATGCCAAGCTTCTCCATCTTGGCGGCGAGGCGGCGTTGAGTCGCCTCGTCACGGCTGCCCATGTCATTGTCCTCCCATGCGCGGAAGCCATGCTCTGCAGCGAATTGCAGCTGGTCCTCCAGCGACTCGGCATGGTGTCGGAACATGCCGAAGTGCGGCGCGTAGAGCAGCCGGAACGGTTCGTTGCGCGGTGTCAGCTGCGCAGTTTGCGCGTTGGTGGCCGCCGCGAAGCCCGCGGCGCTCGCGCCAGAGAGGACGAGCATAAGTTTTCGAGCGAGCCGACACAGCCAAACCCAAATAAGGTGCAGAATATCCGTAAAATCGCGCGAAAAGCGCCCTAATCGAGCTGGAGAGCGGCCCCCAGCCGCATGGGAGCGTGCCCCAGCTAGCAGGAGGCGTTAGACGTACTTTTCGGAAGGACTTTCGGCGACGTTCGTTCCCTTAGACACGTCGACAAATGGCACCGACGCAGCTCAGCATTGTGCTGGAGCGCCTGCTCAACGAACTCGGAATAGCCAACCTCAGTATGTTCGAGGCTGTGCTCATGCACGATACAGGCGCGGTGCTCGACGCGATCCGAAGCACCGCTGCAGCCGCAGAGGCTGGTGCGGCGGTTTATGCCAGCTCGGCCACGAGCAATGTTGTTGTGTGCCGAAGCAGCACTGCTACCGCTGGCGCAATCTCTGTTCAGCACGAGGGCAGCATCTCCCGCACTCTCGTCAGCACAGACGCGCAAACCACGCTAAGAGGGCTCGGACATCCATGCAGCCGCGAGTAGTGCGACTGCTGAGATGCTGCTCCGGCAGGAGTTGGAAGAGAAGTTGCGGTCACAGACCAAGGAGCTCGCTTCTGAGCAGCGCTCTGCGAACGCTATGAAGAAGGCGCTCGCATCGGCGCGGGATGAGCTTGCTGCGGCACAAGAGCTGAGGCGCTCCGACTGCGACAACCTGAGGACAGCGCAGCAGTAAGGGCGTAGACAGGGATGCCTGGCACTAATCAAAAAATGGTGGCCTGTCGAAAGCGCCCTATGGTGCCCGGCGCCGGCTGTGCGCGGATGTGCACGCGTCGCCGAAGACTGTGCTCCGCGGGGAGCACACGCGGCGAGAGCAAGCCGGAGAGGAGAGGATCGGTCCGCTGCGGGCCAGACCGTGTCCTCCTCCTCCGGCGCGATCAGCTCTTGGAGCTCCTCGTCGGCGAGCTCCTGGACCGCAGTGCCAACGAACTCGTCGAAGTCGGCGAGGTTGGCGATGGCCGCGCGCGCACCCAGAAGCATGCACTTCTTGGTGGGGCCGTCGAGCTTGGCGTTGGCCTCTGAGACGACAATGCGGACTACCTTCTTGACCCACGCGCTCACGCGCTCGGGCACGGCCTCGCGCGCCTCGCTCTCCCACTCGTTGCGCTCGTCGCAGTCCTCGAGGCAGCGCTCGCGCATCTCGGCGAGGGTCTCGCGGCCGCCGCCGTCTTGCAGGAAGTCGCACTCGCCGCAGCAGTCCCAATCACCACACCCCGGGCACTCGCCGCGGGCGTACTCCTTCTCCTCGCGCTCGCAGCTGCAGTCCTTGCCCGGGCGCCAGCCGGCGAGACGCTTGTCAATGGCACCCTCGATCGACTTCTTCACCGACTCGGCTTTGTCGGAGAGCAGCCAGCGAACCTTGGTCTCTGTCGCGCTGGCGGCCGAGGACGCAGTCAGTGGCGCCGCCCACCGCTTCAGCGATTCCTCCCACGAGGTTGTGGTCGGCTTCTTGGCCGGCGCCGCCAGCGCGGCAGCCGACGACGCGACAGCGCGCTTCTTCCTGGGCGGATCGAGGTGGACTGTCAACATGGTGAGCCGTCGTTCACAGCCTTTTGTTATGGTTTAGGAGAAAATACTTAGTATGGCGCTGTGCGCTGGTCTGTGAGAGGTTGAGGTGCGAGCACGGAGGGGATGGGGGGAGACTACCCGCGGGCCTAGAAGGCCCGCGCGCAGGGGGGTGGGGCATTGAGACCGGTCATGAATGAGTGCGCGACACGCATGTGTTGCGAGCAGAGAGTTTGTTTTTGTTTTGCGAGCAGCGTGTTGTTGATGTTCACAGACCTGATTGAGAGAAAAATACCGCAGCGCGCTGCGCGCTGGTCTATGAGAAGTTGACTTAAAATCCCTGTGTGGTGGCGGCGTGCCGTCCTCCCACCCCTCCCTTTTGGGTGTTTTCTTTCTTTTCTATGAGGTTGAGGATCCTGTACCGTGTTTTCATGACCCCCCTCCCAATGAACACACCAGTGAGGGAGGGCGAGACGATCGAGGGGTCCCGTACCATGCGGAATCGACCCTATCAAGTGCTCAAGTGCTCAAGGTTGAGGTGCGAGCCCTGGAGGCCCTGGGGATTCACACAAAAGCACAACAGTACTCGAGTAGAAACATTACACCATTGCGCATTGGGGGTGGTCCAAGGAAGGATGCTCCGTCCGTGAAGGTGGATGGTGCATGGTGGAGGTCTGCGCGCGCCGTCGCTGCTCACGCGGCTCGGCCGCTGCGCGTCGTGTCGCACGCGCGCCCTTCCATTCACAATATTTAGAATCCATGCATGAGATAGCTAGAGTTAGGGGTGGAGGGGTGATTGAGCCCTCTAGCTCTATCGATATAGCCCTACCCCTCCCGCCGTTTTAGGGCCTCCCCACCCGCTATGCTGTCTGTGGCAGCCTGTGGCCGGTGTGGCAAAAAATACCAAAAAATCTAACACTCACACAGAGGGAGAGCTTGAACAGAGCTGATCGTGGGGTCCCTTTGCGAAGAAGGTGGGACCCGTTCGTGCGCACGCTTTTGTTCTCGCGCCGGTGAAACGCGCCCCACCCCCACCACAGTAAAAGTCCCGCGTAAGCATCCCGGCGGCTGGGTGAAGCGGAATAATTGTGGCCCCGGCCCGACAGCTTGGAGGCGCGGCATCCACTCCCAGGCAGCTACACGCGCATGGCCAGGAGCAGGCGGCTCTTGATAATCTCCATTGTGTTGTTGCCACGCTGCACCACCGGCGATGGTCGCTGCTACGGCACTTCACCCACCGGTATCCGCTGGATGTACGTCCAGCCCCAACACAGCGGCTCGAGGAGGGCTGTGCACTGGCTGCTGCAGTCGGAGCAAAGGCTCAATATTTCGACGTGCCTCCATGGGCACTACATGTCTGGTCCTGGAGACGTCGGGCCGATCGACTTCTCCTTCAGCTTTGTCGCCAACCCATACCGCCGGGTGCTGAGCAACGCAGAGTTCCACCAGGCGAGAGGTTGAACGAATTCACTGCCGACTAGCACGGATTCGCTACCTACCTAGCTACTCCTAAAGCCCCCAACCCCCAAAACAGGTGATCAACAGGACCTCGCGTGGTGAACTTTCGGCGCGGCGCTTCAACCAGTGGGTCTTGACGCACCAGTTCCATAAATACCCAGCGGAAATCGACGTCTACCCGCAAGCAGAGATGATTGTCGCGCACCCGCGGGTCCGATTCATTGGCTGCACCGAGGGACTTGAGCCGCAGTTGTTTTGTGTCCTAGCCCACCTCGGCTATCTTGCGCAGCTGCAGCGCTTGCTGCCGGAGGCATCACGAGGTAGCACCCCAGAGCAGCTTTGCCTCGCGGCCAGCCGGTCTCACGCGCAGCGTGTTCGCGACGCCACGGCGAAAGGCCCTCCAGCTACGGTGGCCTGGTACAATGCTCACTCTGCGGCCAAGGTCAGAGACCTGCCACCCGGTCGTTCCCTCCCGCCCCCGACCTCCTCCTTCCGCGCACGCCAGGTGAGACATGCGTTCCACGACGATTTCGAATCGTTTGGCTTCCCAATGGACCCCGCGCAGGCGTACGAACCGACATGTTTACCGCCGCACGGTTTCCGTTGGTACGAGGCTTGAAGTGCCTGCTAGAAGATTAGAAAGAAAGAAAGAAAGATTTTACAGACAACCCAATTGCCCAAATGACGAGGGATGGGAGAGGAGGACAGGGTCCCCACCTGCACGGGCAGGATTTTGGCTAGAAAAATAGGAAACGGCTCCAGATGTACTGGTTGGGTAGTAGTCTAAGTTCTGAGCCTGGAGGCCTAACGGGTCTAAGTGTGGCTAGCCACGCTGGAGTGCTTGCGCGGTCTAAGATCAGCGGGAGCCTCTTACATCGGCTAAGTCGGCCGTGGACGGCCTGGGGCCAAGAGGCTCCCACCGTGATCAAAGTACAACGATACGCGGCGCAAGCCCCCATGCCCCAAATTTTCTTCGCCTGCGGCGGGCGATCGATCCTTCGCTCAGCAATCGCCGCCTCAGCATCCTCCTCTTCCGATTCTCGTTGCTGCTTCTTGAGCGCAATCTTCGGCGACTTCTCGCCAAACAGTTCTCACAAATAGCCTCAAGCTCAAACAAACGCATGTCAGAGAAGCCTGTGTATGCTGGTCCTCTTTGAACGATCCGCGCGTGAGGTAGCATAGGGCCTTGTTGGCAGCAGCCAGCTTGTTGCGCTGCTTCGTTGCGATGAGCTGATTGGGATCGCAGAAGTGCATGCCAAGCACCGCCACGGTCTTGAAGCAGAACACATCGCAACCGCATCGTCCGCACTGCCATCGGCATGCCGCGCCCGCCGCTTCGCCGCAGCCGCCTTAAGGCACGCATAGCGGCAGCATATGGTACGTTGCGCGTACTTGAGCAGGCGTTGCGCGCCGCAAGTAGCGCACTGGCCCTGGGAGGAAGCGATATGGCGTCGTGCGCGGCATACGTTGGTCGGGACGCGTCCAGGTATTTTTTACCGGGTTTTACCCGGAGTTGGCCTTATGTCGTCTAAGTTCATGGCCCCCGACCATACAGCGTCTAAGTCCGAGCCCGGCTCCGTGCGGGGGCTAAGTTGAGCGCTCGCTCGCTACAGAGGCTAAGTGTAGAGCGACCCTCTAGCCCTACTACCCAACCATCCCAGATGTGTCTGTACTAGTTGCTTAACCCTCACACACTCGATGTCACGACTGTGGGTCCCTCCAGGGCGCTAACATAATTGGCGCACGGCTCGGCCGCATACCTGGGCTGCACGCGCAGCAGGTTCATCGCCGCAGCGAGCACAATCACGAGGCCAAGCACGTCGGACCCGACGGCAGCTGCGATCAGATACCCCTCCGCGCCGGTGAGCGCAAACATCAGCGAGAGCGGGACGAGCTTCAGCGCAAGGGAGGCTCCCACGGCGGCGCGCAGCGTGCGCGTGGTGAGCCGTGCCACCCACACGGCGTCGCAGATGCGGCGGAGGTCGTTGGACATGAGCACGACGCCTGCGGCCGCCGAGGCCATCGCGGTGCCGCTCACGCCCATCGCGATGCCCACGTCGGCAGCCGCGAGCGCGGGACCGTCGTTTACTCCGTCACCGACCATGCCCACGACCCCCTTTTTGCGCAGCGCCCGGATGCGCTCGAGCTTCTCAGATGGCTTCATGCCGGCCACGGCGTCGCCGATGCCGACTTGTACGCGCACCGCCTGCGCTGTCGCCTCGCAATCGCCCGTGAGCATGGTCGCGTCGACGCCGAGCGCCTCGAGCTCGCGCATGGTAGCTGCCGCTTCGCCGCGGACCTCATCCGAGAGCTGCGGGGGCGGGCGGCGCGGGTGGGCTTGGTGAGGGCGAGAGCTGAAGGGGGGGGGCGATGGCGCCGGTGATGGCGGGTGGTGGCGGCGGTGGCGGCGGGCCTGGCAAGCGGCGGCGATCTCGCCATCGAAGAGGACCCAGAGCACCGAACAGCCGGCCTATGGGGTGAGGTGCTCCAAGGTGAGGCTTCCCCACACGCTGGCGTGGAGCGGAGGCTGCGCTAGTCCAGCCCGCCTGCTGCCACCTCGCGACGAGCTCCGAGGAGAGGTCGAGGGGAGGCACACCGCATCCGCCGCCACAACAGCCGACCCCGCACTCGTCCCCACCATCGGCTGTGCTGCCCGGCGGCGAGGGCGGCGGCGACGTTGTTTGCGCCGATAGTGGCATCGGCGGTGTGCCACCGGGCCCGCGAGCCTGATCTGCGCGCGCGTCTGCTCTGGCTGCGTCGAGCGCCTCGCGGGCGGCGTTTTCTTTCTTCTGTAGCGCCTTGAGCATGCGGGCGGGTAAGCCCTCTCGCGTCGCATACGTGACAGCAGCCCTCGCCTCCGCGTACGCCGTAGCCGCTGCCTCTGTGGCCGGAGTCCTCGGCGGCTCTCCGTTCGCCTTGGCCGTCTCCGCCAAGACACGACGCGCGAGGCGCTCGTTGCCGACGTGCACCGTGACGCCGTCGACGACGGCCACAAGCCCCTCCCCCTCGAGCAACGTGAACTGCGGCGCGGGCGGCGGGTCGACGCCAAGCTCCGCAGCATACTCGAGGAATGCAGCGGCGATGGGGTGCGACGAGCTCTTCTCGACCGCGGCCGCTGCCTCAATGACGGCCGCGAGCGTTGCGCGCGGATTGGCCTCATTGGTCGTGACCTGCGGGAGCGGTCGGCACCCCTCGGTGACGTGGCTACTGCTCAAGTGTGGGACGCTGGAGAGGACCTGGCGGAGGCGGAAGCGGCCCTCTGTGAGCGTGCCCGTCTTGTCGAAGGCGAGCCTCGACACGCGTGCCAGCAGTTCGAGCTGCTGCGGGCTCTTGACGAGGATGCCTGTGGCAACCGTGTTATGCTCAGAGCCCAAGCGCCTCACATGTCGAACGGCGAGGAGTCGATGCCCCAGCGCGCAACAGCGGAGATCCCACACGCGTTCGTGACCGGCATCGCTATGATCAGCGCGCAGGGGCATGCAATGACGACGAGGGCGAGCGCACGCCGAAGCCACCACACACACGAGTCAGTGCCGTCCTCCGAGTGCATCCACCGGCTCGTCCACGTCGCATCTTCGTCGTGCGAGTCGCCGTCGCCCCACGAGCACAGACTAAGCGGCACCTGCGGGCGAGCGAACGCTGAGGGAGCAGGCATGCCCGAGGGGCGAGCGCAGCGGCCCACCGTCGCGAGCAGCAACGCGCTCAGCAGCACCATCACGGTGTACACGCCAGCGAGGCGCTCCAGTACGGGCCTGCGCGTCCCCTCGCCCTGCGCCTGGCTCACGAGCATTGTCAGCTGCGCCGCCGTTGCGTCCTCGGGCAGCCGCGAGACCTGAAGTACGCCAGTAAGAGCAGACACCCTCACGCCCTCCCTTCCCCGGGCCCTACCTTGTGGCGTCTCTTCGCGGTTTTGAGAATTTTACTCTCCTGGCCGGCGCACAGTTCGGGAGCGTGATGTGATAGAGAAAGGGGAATGCCTTGAGCGTGAGGACTCCGGTCTGGTTGGCCGTCCCCGCAAACACGCTCGAGCCCTCCCGCTTGGCGACAGGCACCGCCTCCCCGGTAAGCATGGACTCGTCAACGGCCGACGAGCCGCCGACAACCTCGCCGTCCACCGGCACGGCGGAACCCGGCTTGACGAGCAAGAGCTCTCCGACGACAACCTGCCAGTAAAGAAAACGGCGCGACTCTGTTGACACTGAGATTCAGAGGCACGCGCAGTCGGTGCGAGCTGGCGCCTCGGAGAGCGGTTTGCTCGCTGAGCCATCCGCCGGGTAGGCAAGCTCTGGCAGCAGGCCGCCGAGGCTGTCGGACGCGGCAGCCGTGTGGTGGACGCACCATAGCTGTAGCCACTCGGACGCCTACGGACGTGGCAACACAGCTCGCGTCATCTTCCGATTTCGGGTGCCCTCGGATCGATTCGGGGGCTCACATTGTAGAAGAAGACGACCGCGCTCGCTTCCCAGAGGTCGAGCAGCACAAGCGCGCCGACGCACGCGATCGCCATCGTCGCAAACATGCTGATCCGCCTCTGCAGGAGGCCGGTGAGGGCGCGCCGGAGCAGGATCGGCAGGCCAAGCAGCACCTGAGGGCGGTGCTGGAGAGGTTGCCATGGGTTTCTGTGGACTGGGCGGCTGCAGACTGTGGGCGGCGGCGGTGAGCACAAACGTTTGAAAGTGCAAAGTACGAGAATGGGTCTTCCCACCACTCGGTGCCATCGGGACGCGCCCAAATGCCGTTCGAGAGGCCAAAGAGGAGCAAGCTGAGCAAGGCCACGAGCAAGCCCGGCCGGCAAAGAGCGCCTCGCTGAATGCCGGCGCCACCGGCTCCCTTTGGTGGTAGAACCGTTGCGCCCAGCGCAGCCCAGTTCAGCGGCCGCAGGAGCTGGACAGCCGTCAGATCTTCAGTGTGCGTCACGGTGCAGCGGCGGAGCATGAGGTTGAACTTGAGGTCGACGACGCCGTCCAGCATGCCAATCTTCTTGCGGATGAGAGCCACCTCGCTCTGGCAGCACATCCCAGTTACCATCAGCTCGGTCACGACCAAGGCTTGCGGCAGTGCGGCATCGCTGCGCTGCGGGTCGATCATGCTTTGTCGATGGTAACGATGAGTAGTGTCCCAGCCTTGTGCGTTGGGCGCGCCTCGCACCTGTCTTTCTTCCTGGCGGGTCGCCCAGGGTTCCGGCTCCTGCCCAGATAGGGGGTCTGTCACCATGACTCGCGCCAAAACGCCCTACCTATCTACCTATCCCCAGGCCGCGCGCGAAGCGAAATTAGGTGCCCTGTAGGCTTGGCTGCAAAGGGGATTTTTGTTGTGCCGACTTCGATCTTCGTGTGTGCTCCGCTTCTGAGAGAGAGATTTTTAGCAATACCAAACAACTCTAACACTCACACGTAATTTGGGGCCTGGAGCCCTGTTCACGCGCGCGCGAGTTTTTGTGTCCGCTTCTGAGAGAGAGATTTTGAGACATGAGAGAGAGAGAGACAGACAGAGACAGAGAGAGAGAGAGAGAGAGAGAGAGAGCCGAGATAGAAAGAGAGAGATTTTGAGTGAGACGGTTTAGAGAGAGAGAGAGAGAGAGAGAGAGAGAGAGAGAGAGAGAGAGAGAGAGAGAGAGAGAGAGGGAGGGAGGGAGTACTTGGAGCACTTGGAGTGCAGTCATTAACCTCACATCCAGGGCCGGGGAGTACAATTCTTTCTAATTTTATTTCGCCTCGAGCTGTGCTTAAAAGTTAAATATCTCTCTACAACCTCCAATCCCCGTCCTTGCTTGCGTCCCCCCATCGCATGCCGGTGTGTCCAGTCGCTGGCCAGCCTCTTCTAAACCAACACTCCCGTTTCCCAAGAAAAGAAAAGTCCAAGCCTTCCTCGATTTCCGCGAGCGGCGTCTCACAAAAAGCCTAGCCGTCCCGGCGCAAGAAAAGCCTTGCCGCCGAGCTGTCATTCCTTCTGCAGGCCGCGTGCAGCGACGCGCGAGTCCTGGCGGCGCAGCCGCCCCGCCGTGCGGACCATGGCCAACCAGCCCGTCGACGCGCCCGACGACGTGACCTCAGCCGGTAAGTGTCGAGAGCGCCCCCCGGCCAAAAGTCGACGATCCTCGCTCGCCGCCTCGCCCCTTCCGGCGGCGCGGCGGCGCCCGCGACGGGCGGCTCGCCCCACGGCGCACCCCGCCGCCGTAGGTACTCGAGGTGCTCGCCCTCCAACGACGCCGCGGGGGCGGAGGGCCGCGACCCGCTGGGCCGGCTGCCGCCCCCGCGCCTGCCGCCCCCGCGCCGCCCCCGCGCCGCCGTCGGCGGCGTCCAGCGCAAGCGCCGCCGCCGCGTCGCGCGCCGCGCGGGCAGCCTCGACGGACCAGAAGCCGTGCTCTCTGTACCCGGCGTCCCACACGCCCAGCGAAGGGCTGAGTGCCGTCGCGAGACCTCGGCACGCCTGCGCACGCCTGCGCACGCGGCAGAGCGACAGCAGCACCACCCTCGTCGGGCGCCCACGAAGCGTACTCGCGGGTCGCCGCCTCCTTCTAACCAAGGCCGAAGAAATTTGGTTCCGAAGCCTTCCCGGGCTCCTGTCCCTGTCGGGTCCGGGCACCGAATTTTTTGGGAGGGACCGACCTAAATGGAATAATCCTTGCTGGCCCCTTTCCCCCGGGGGAAACGGCCCCCCTCGGGTGTTCTTCTCCCCCCG